AAGTTACGGGCGATTTCGATGCTGCAGGACACCCGTCGCTCGTGGCTCACAAAGCACACCGCGCCTGGTATCAGCCCCTTGTGAACGCCCCTCGGGCTGTGGCTGGAGCCGGATATTGGTGGGTTTGAAGCGGGGGCATTCCCTGAATACCGGACGGGGAGTTGGGCAGCTCGGGAGCAGCCTGGTGCCAGCAGCGGGGCCAGGCTGGGGAGGAGCGGGTGCAGGTCACCTCTGCTGGTCCCCGGGGAGAAGCCCTGCAGGGAGCTCGCTCAGGTCTGTCTTCCTGGGGCTGTTCTGGGTCCCTAAATGTGTTTCCTGGAAAAATGGTGATGTCAGGGAACAGGGTGGTCAGCCGAGGTGGCATCAAGAACAGCACAGAGAGCACAGAAAAGTGGCCATCTCCAGGAACTCGTTCAGAATTCATTTTCTATTGAGTCATCAATGGATTTTACGAATTGGAGGAGAAATGTCTGTGCTGGCAGGGACTGAGCAGGGAATTCCTCCAGCAGAGGACAGCAGTGCACGCAGATCCTGCCGGATCCTGCTCGGCATGTGGAAATCCAGTACAACTTGGACGCAGATGCCTGGATGGGAGAATGGTTTTGTCGTTGCTTTGTTATATAATAAACATTTTAAGACATGTTTGCTCCCGTTAAGAGTTCTTGTGTGCAGAATGCTGCCAAAAATGCAGCCTGGAGTGAAAATTGACAGCCAGGTCTCTGATGCATTGTTCAGCAATGGAAAATAAAGTTGTCTTTGCCCAAAAGTTGTGGTCCAACACTCCCTGCCTGCCTGAAGCATGGGTCACATGGTGCTTAGTGCAGAAATTTAATCGTGGGCATTCAGAAAGGAAGGGTCCTCGTGAAAGATTTCGGGCTAAGCATGGTTGCAAGGGTGAAAAGACAAGTCCTCACGTGAGATATATGAATAGGTATTTCTAGCAGGTTGATATTGCCAAATCCCCCCGGGTTTGAACATGCTCGTTGGAAGCGCAGTGGGTGCAGGGGACAGGCGCGTGGTTGGTTGATTGTTCTCAGCCTTATCTGCGATTTTGTCTCTTCTCAGGGAGAAGACGAAGCTGTTACCCTCAAATCTTGCACACGGCGGAAAACCGACTCGATTGAGAAGAGGTTTTGCTTTGATGTGGAAGCTGTGGATCGGTGAGTGCCAAGGGGTGTCACAGCCTCGGCGTACCTGCAGCCCGGCGCCCAAAGGACGGGTTACGCTAGTTTTTTAAAGGTGACACTCATCGGTACTTGGCTTTCCTGGGTAGTTCATGTGCAGTTTCCCTGTTTCTCTTCTCCTTTAGTCATACCCTCCCTGAATGGAAAGCATTAGTCCGTGGAAACGCGCTCTCCCTGCTGCTCCAGCCAGGTGCTCTCGGTATATTGAGTTAGTGCTTCGGTTTACAAGGTGCCGAGTTTACTCAAGTCTCTCAAACTTTAATGGTGTTTTAGCACTTCTGCAGTCTCTGGCCACGTATGGTAAATGGTTGCAAGTATGGAAAAGATGCTCTGTGGGTGTTTTGGCAGGGGTACGATGCCTCTTTCCAGCATTGGGTATGTGTTGGAATAACTTCAGCTTTTGTGCTGCCCAGTGGCTGTTGCTGGTGCGCTATGGATGGGCAGTAACGGCAGTCCGGCCTGCTCCTCCGGGCCTTTACATTCCCTTCTTTTTCCTGAAGGAGTGAAATGCTTTCTGGTGTGATTTATCACGTAGCAGCTGAACCAGATGTATGTGTGGATGCATTCTATAGCGCCTAGGAATGAGAGCCTGTTATCATACCTAATTAGCATCACGCATGGCTTACATATATAAACAGGAAAACCAGGCTGGGGTTGCTATCCCGAGCGGTATTAGTCACTGCCTCATATCTCCCTCCCTGCAGGAAGTTTACGTGGTTTACAAAAGCTCACTCCAAAGTCACTGAATGTCTGTGCCCTCCTAGTTGTGTGCCTGTTCGCGTTCCAGCTGTCCTCCCCTCCGCTGGCCACTGTGGGAATGCCCGGGAGGTCTCGGCAAAATCCCGAGTTCATCAAAACCTGAGGTGTTGAATAACGCTGGAATACCCCGCGGTACCTTTCCCTGCCCAGCCTGTGCTTCCGCAGCGTTTCGGTGCCAGCCCCTCTCGCTGCCAGCCCAGGGCAGGGAGGGGTTGGGGTGATGGAGCTCTGCCTGTGTTGGCTCAGGGATAAGATAACCCCGGGGCTGCATCCCGCTCTCTGTAGCTGTGCTTTCCTCCAGAAAGCTGCAGTATTTCTGCTGACATGGGGATTTTTTTTCCTATGCCCCGAGGATATTTTTTTTCTAATGTGAAAATCAAAATAAAACTGGGAGGAGGAGAAGCCAGCCACCACAATGGTTTTCTTCTGCAGCGTGTTCAGAGGCAGCTGAACCTTCTCTTGATGTCTGGAGGCTGCTAGGCACGGGATCAAGAGCTACTCCTGAAATATGCCTGCTAAATGTAAATAATGGCAGGGGAGCGGCAAAGGTGGGGAAACCTGAGAAATTGCTCATTTCACGTGCGTGTTCCTGCTGCAAGAGATTGCCTCTGTGTGAGAGGACAGCGAGAGCAGAAAACATGAAATAAAAGGCTGCTTTTCACCGCAATATACAGGCAACTCCGCGTCTTTTTGGTATCAGAATTTGTCATTAGTTGTCTAAAATAATGGTTATTTCCAAAATAGTTCAGCTAAGAGGAAGAGGAGGCAACAGGTTTTGCCATGGCCAAAAGAGAGTGTGATGTGCCCTGTCTGTCTCCCCCGCCCTGGGATGCGCTGAGCGTTGGGAGATCTGGGCACCATCAGGGCTTCAGGTGACGCCATCAATTGCCAGGGTTTGCTGGAGATCGCCTTCAGCTTGTCTGCCACTTGTGATTTGGCCTCTTTTACAAAGCAGTGTGTATCGAGGAATGGTTTCTTTGCCAGCCCAGGATTATCGGGGATTGGCAGCGCATGGGTGCCACCCTGCAGCCGTCCTGCCGAAGCCTGGCTTGGCTTCGCCCTCTGGCCCTGGGGACACGGGTGACCTGGAGCACCGTGTGCAGAAGTGCCCGGTTGCAGCTGGAGGCGCTGGGGCTCACCTGGGCACCGCGGGGAGGGAGAACCGTGCCCGCTGCTCGGGAGGTCAGCCAGGCTCGGGCAGCGGGAAGACAATGCTGTCGGAGGCATTGCTTTCCATTTCATGCTGGAGGAGATCAGCTCTGGCTTAAGGACCTGAGCACAGGCAAAAACTTCGGCCCATGCTCTCCACCCAAGTCCGCTGACCACCGATGGTAGGATGTCTTTGACCAACGGCTGGCTGGAGCAGTGCCTGGGGCTCTTTTTGCGGAATGGAGAAGGCTCATTTGCATAGGGGACTTTTTGTCTTGGGCTGGGTTTTTTTTCTCTCTCTTTTTTTTTCTTTTTGTTTTGTTTTTTTTTATTGTCTCTACTAATAGAGAAGTTAGAAACTTGATGTCTTGTTCGTCAGCCCATGCAGGAAGTCTGGATATGATTAAGGCAAACATCCTCAAGATGCTTCTCTGTCTCACATGTGGACTGTGTGTTGACTTACAGCAGTTTTCCCCGTTCTTTTCCGTATGAAACTTCTAAATGAAAATTAGACTTACAAGCAATGTCCAGGAAGAGTCAAGTGTCTTGTAACTGATAGGTGCACGCAGTCAGCGGTCGTTAAGCCAGCCCAGAACACTGTGACACTGAGAAAACCCTGTGCGTTTGTGGTGTTCAGAGGTAAGGGTGAGCAGTGCCACCGGAGTTGGCTTCTCCTGAAGGCTGGAACTGCCTTTCGAAAGGTTAGTTTGGAAACAGGCGGATTAAGAGAGTGGGAAGATTTTTCTGTGCACATCGCGTGCTTCCTCTGGACAATTAAATTGGTTTGTCCTTTCTGCAGTACGTGCGGAGCGAGAATGCGCTGGGCTACATGTGAGCCTTCCTCGGCAAGGACGAGGGGCATTGCTGCGCTGCCGGGGGTTTCGGCAGGTTTTGGTTTGTGCATCCCCTCCGTGTCTTTCCAGATACACATCCCATTGGTGTTCTCTCGGCTTTTCTGGGCCATCTGCTGTGGGCCCCTCCGGAGCAGCGTCATGCTGTAGGCATCCAGGTTGAAACCTGTGCCTGTGCAATGGCCGAAGGCCATTGATGGCCCCAGCGGCACTGGATAGGTGACACGTCGCTGCCTCCCACCATGTGAGTCCAAAACATCTCTTCTTGCTGCAGTAGATTACCCTTAAATATCCTTGCGAAGGCGCCTGCAAGCCCGTGTCCCGGCGGGTGCAGGTGGCCCCTGCTCTGTGCCGATCAGTGCGTTACGTGCGGGTCTTGGTGCCGTGGGGACAGTGTGAAGTTTGCTCCCTTCCCAGGCTCTCCTGAAGCATATTCAATCGTTTTTTTTTAAGTTCTCTGTGCGCAGACTGGCTTAGTTACCAGTTTGTTTTATTATGGCCCAACACGTTGTGTCCATCTTCCTAACTGGGGTGGGAGGAGGAAGCAGCACGGTGGGACTGGGGGCCGGGGTTACCCCGCTGGCTCCTGCTGGAGCTGGCAGGGTGAGACCTGTCGTAATTACGATTCACTTATGTGTGAAATGCCGTGCTGACAGCCACAGCACCTGTAAGTACATACCAGGAAATTTCACTTTCTGCTCAAGTATTTTTATCTCCTATCACCATGCAATTTGCGTAGCTCTTCAAGCTCTGCCCGTACCTTGCCGGGGTTGTGGGGTGCAGCGTAACCCCGGGGTTTGGGGGTGACACCGACGCAGGAGCGCGAGGGCCGTGCTGACGCTCCCGGAGTGCCGTACAGCCTAGAGGTGGCAGCCTCGGCTGGTTCTTCCCCGCTTATGGTCGTCGGCACAGAACTGGGCTTGCTGTCAGCGTTGCATTTTGGGAAACTGGTATACATGCGACACGGGGTGCAGGCTCGGAGCTTTTAAAATAACACCCGGTGAAGCTGCTGCTTGCTAAGGGGAAAAAAAACCACAAGTTTTTTATCCTGTTAAAGATGATTCAGCAGTATGGAGCTGAAAATCTTGAGCCTCATCTGTCGTTACAGCATTGCTTCCTTTTTCTATTGCCTGATAAGGAGACGCTGAAGTTTTTAACGCTGACTGAAGAGCTGTGGTACAGGTGTTTGTGAGAGGTCTAAGAAATCCCTAACGCTGCATTTGCAAATAGTTCTGATTTTCTCTGTGAGAAGTCGGGAGTATTTTATTGCTTTGTTACAGCAAAATTAGCCCCAGAATGGTGTTCTAGTGTCTGGCTGAAATACATCCCCGGTGGGATGGATAGCGTGTTTTACTCTTAATGCTCTTTTTTAAAAACTAAACTTATTTGTAGTCTCTGTGCATTAAATCAGTTTTGTAAACAAGGTAAACAGGGATGACAGACAGTGTCTTACAAAATGAGCCTTAGGAGGAGATCTCATTTGGCTGGTGACAAAGGGTCTGTAATTTAGGATAATGTAGGTCATTGCTCTGGGCCAGAAGCGAAGTGCATCTCATACCGATTGGCTTTTATGGGAACAGGAGGTATTCCAAATTTGGGGGTTTTGGCCTCTTAGTCGTTCATAAAGGCAGGAAACTCTGCACGTAGTGCCATTCCCCTGGGCTACTGCCTGTGTGCCCGCGAGGTGGCTGGCACCGCGCTGGCGTGGGCTGCGTGATGGTTGGCACCGGGGCGAGTGAGCTGCGGCACCTGCCCGAGTGCTTCCCTGACCAGATGGTGTTTGGTATGTAGGTGGTTGGCCTTGCTCTGGGTACGCGCTTTACAGATCAGTGTATTTCTTTCTGAGTGCCACCCTGTCCGCCTGTGGCAGGGCACGCTCCCTGCTTCCCAGCGCTGGGGCTGGTGGTGCCGGGCGGCCGGTGGCCACCCCACCTCTGCTGGTGTTCCCCAACACCGGCCGGTGGCTCTCGCCGGGGCTTTGGACGGCATGTGCAATACAACTTGTACTTGTTCCTCTGCTGGTGTCGCCTTTCCAGTGACCTTTTAAACAAAGCGATTCCTGGGGTTTTCACAGGCGGGCTGGCAGCGAGCGACAGGCAGAGCTTGTTCCCCCCTCGGGGGACCCACGCCAGGCCCTGCCGAAACAGCTGGCGGCGGTTGTACTGACAGAGTTTTAAGCTTTATGTGGACAAGTGAGACTTTCTGAATTCAGGGGTAAAGCCTGCCCCTTATTTACGTCTTCTCACATCTTTGTTTTGGGGCCACAGCTGGCTGCCGGTGCCTGGACCAGTGCCCCACCGCCGTGGGGTCCTCTCTGGGGTGCCAGCAGCGTGTGGGTGCGCTGCCCTGCTCAGACTGGGACAGCAGACTTCTCCCTGCACTCAACTCCACTCATCCCTCGAGACCTTGTTATTAATCCGCTCTTGTGTTTTTTCATTCAGCAGTTTAGATCGTCTCAGTATGATAAGCCGCTACAGGAGTTGAAAGGTCTTATCTGTTTCTATTGCTTTCATTATTTGTTTGTTTTTCTGGAAGGAGGAAAAGCTATTGGACTTTCTCATTTTCTCTGCTTGCTTAGTCATAGCTCCTTAAAACCAGGCTGTTTTTCACAAAAGCTGAGATATTGAGAAAATTCAAATTTCCTGTGTGGTCTCGTATGGGAAAATCTCTTTAGTTTTTAGAGTGTAGCATATTGAAAATATACTTTCTTGCGAAGTGTTTGCCGTGTTCTGCTCTGGTCTCACGCATCCGCATCCACTCAGTTTAGAAATGGATTCCTGCTGATCACAAAATGTCCCTTTCCCACCCTTGCATCCCAGAAGGCGGCAAAGGGTTTTGGTGCCTGGAGGTTGACATGTGTGATGCAGCATCTAGAAATGAATCAGCCGGTCCTTTCTCATGTTTGCCACAACGGTTCACGTTGGTGTATTTTAGATGTCAGATCCAGGAGGGTGTCCTGCTGTCCCCATGCTTGGCTGGGCAGAGCCACCGGGGCAAAGGAGGCTCCTCCGGCGCGTGTCCGTGTGTGCCACATGAGGCTTTGGGAGGGGATGGGAGCGACCCGGCAGCAAAACCTAGCTAAGCTCCAGTGTTCGGGATCATTTGTGTGTTAGCTGAGGGGGCAAAGATAGGTACATTTCGTTTATCTTTGGGGAAGGGAAGTCAGAGAAGGGCCTTCCCTGTCTCACGCTCCACACTGAATCATCGAGATACCTGTAATCTAATGAGCACACTTTTGGAAACGGTTGATCTTCAAGGAAACCCCGTGAAAACAAGGCTGGCTGCAGGCAGCGAGTCAAACGCGGCTGCTGTTGATAGTGTTGGTAGGATGCTGTTTCAGCGCCAGCTGTCCTACCTGACTATTAAGCACGTGGTACCCCGTGGGCATCGTCCAAATAAATAATGAATGAGGCGTAATGTGTGGGGTGCATTTTAAACGCGTCCCAACCAGGAAGACGGTTCTGCTCAGGAAAGTGGTGCAATGGATGCCTTGGCAAACGAGCGCTGTGGGAGGAAATGCAGAGCTATTTGCAATGTAAATAGGTTTTTAATTCAGTTTCACAGCCCCTCCCCTCATGCTGTTAAATAAGTTTGACTTTGAAGTGGAGCCCAAAGAGTTGTTATCTGCTCCAAGGCAGAACAAACATTTTCATGTTATCACCTTTTTGCCCTGTGCGTGAGGGAACCTGGCACGCCAGATACCAGCATTGTCTCCCTAGGACCTCGTCGCTCCGCTGGGAGTCCGGTGTTGAGTTTAACACAAATAAATGATGTAAATGTCTTTTTTTTTTTTTTTTTTTTTTTTTAAAGTCTTGGCTAAAGAGACAGAAATCCCAATTATTTCTTTTTCCTGGGTCTCCCTAGTTGAGCTAGAGCCCTTCCAGGGCTTTCTCCCTGGGCTGTCCATGCCTTCAGCGGCAGCATGCCGTAAACTCTGACGTAAGCCCTGGCTGAAAGGGGTTCAGCTGAGCCCTGGGCTCACCCAGGGAAGAGCCTGCTGCTGCCGTTGGGGACGGGTTTGCTGTCAGGCAGCAGCCAGTGCTGCTGCAGCTCCTCGGGTACCGGGGACTACTCCTGAATCGCTTTGTCTCTGCACAACAAGGAGCTTTGTTCAGTGTTTTGAAAATATTTGGCGTTGGATGTTGAACATTTTCTTTCTCAAATGGGGCGATGGTTAAGTGGTTTCCTCTTCCCTTCGAAATGAGTAAACTTCCAAACCACTAAGCTGGTGAGTATTGACTGACTCACCAATGGGATTAGCGGAGATCAAACGCATTATGTCTGGTTTACTTGGACCTGGGCTCGTTGCAAGCCTGAATGCATGGCTTCCGCTGGTGAGACAGTGCTAAGCTGCCGTGTGCATGCTGAAAGCCAACTGTTGGGTTGGTTGGTTGGTGAATGAAGTTAGGGAGAGGGGTTAATCCGTTGTTCCTTGCCCATACATACCACAGAAGCGACAGAAGACAGGCCAAACCCACCACTATGGGTCCGTGTTTTCTTTTCTAACAGAGGATCAGCTCTTATCAAGAAAGCCTTTTGCTGAGTGTTGTTGCAGCTCACGTTCTCCTGCTGTATCACTGTTGGGAAGTGCAAGTTAGAAATTACCCCTCTTCCCGGGCCTTATCAGTTCTTGAGAATTTAGTACCGAAAAGAGCCTACGTGCTCTGCTGAACGCAGAGGTCTGTAGGTGATCACAGCTCCCGAGGTTAAATTGCTTCCCCCTCTTGCGCAGCCCAGTGCCCTGCGAGCGGTGATCCTGGCTCTCCGCTGCCCTTCTGGAGCTGCTGCGCTTTGCCATGGATGGGAAGAGCAGCGTCGGAGGTTCTCTGCTGTCGTACTTTCGATGGATGAAACCCCACGAGCATTGCTGCAGAGAGAGCGCCAATAACCACCCTGCACACGCTGAGTTGCGCAGTGCTCTGGCCATGCCTGCGTCTCCCCCGTTGCCAGGGCTTCTGCCCGCTCTCCTCCTGCAGAAATAGCTGCTGCGCTCTGCTAATGCGTCTGAAAATAACCTGGGAGGAAGCAGGACGTCTAGACCAAACAAAGAGAATAGATCTTGGCCATCTCACCAAGACCGGGGGCTCTGCCTGCTCCCCCAGGCGCCGTGCGGGCAGCCCGGCCCCGCTGCGGGCTTAGCTGGGAGCGGCAGTGGGGCAGGATGCGACCGCCCCGTCGGAGGCTGGGGAGGTGTAGGGCTAGCTAAGGTGTTCTGTGTCTGGGTCCGCTGGCTGCAAGATGAGGTGGGATGCTGCGGGTGGACAGCCTGGCGGCTTGCAGCCAAGCCCGATGCAGTAAATTGTCAGCCCACGACGTGACCCGTGGGAGTGCAGCGTTGGCTTTCACCCTCTGCGGCATGCTCCTCTCTTGTGCAAGCACACACCCACACCTGAAGTTGTGCAAATACTCTCCACCGTGTTAGATCCATCATGACCTTGGTGGTCATGCTTATCAGAGCTAGGTAATTAAGTTTTAACTCCTTTTATGGGAAGGGCAGTCCAGGAGTGGACTCGGGGTCTGCTTAGGAGTGGTGGAGGTGGCATTGGCCCTAGGGTGAGGGCTGGGCTGGTGGTGTCCCGTGGCTCCCCGTGCTTCGTTTGCAGGCACTTGGGCCTGTTCTTTCCCCTTCTCATCACAATAAATAAGCAAACAGAGTTATTTTTTGGAGGCTGGATTTACAGCACAGCTCACGGGCTGGTGTGTGTGTAACGGCAGGGGGTGGCAGGGCTGGGCAGGACCAGGCGGTGCAGGAGCGAGCGCCCCGGGGCACCCCGGGACCCCTCGCAGCACTCCCCCCGCAGGGCTGCGGGCAGCGGCAGGCGGACCAGGGGCACATCGCTGCCATTGCTGCGTATAACAGAATCACAGGTTCACACAGAGTAACGTCAGTGTGTGGATGTCGTCAGGGAAGTGGCACAGCCACGCTGGCACAAACGTGTCAGGGGTGAAATTCTTCACACAGCAGAAGGTCCCCCACCAGGAATCGGTGCTTGGGGTGGTGGTAGGAGCTGGGGGGCTGGGATGCGTGGGTCTCCTGCTTGCTTGGTTACCTTCCTTGCCCTCTCCTGCTGTTGCATGGATGTGCTTAGCCCAAGTGCAGGTGAGCTGTCTGGCTGAAAGCCAGAGGAATGATTTGGCATTCAGCTGCCTTACACTAAAAACACTGAAAATGTGTGTCGATTGTTGGAGATCTCCTCTGCTCATTTGCTGGTCCTGGTTAGGACCTGCACGGGCATCCCTGGAGAGGTCAGGCTGGGCTCAGCTCCATGCTGCTGGGGCTTAGCTAGGAAGAAGGTTGTCCTCTTTCTCTGTCTCTCTCATGGGAAATTTATCTTTGTCATCTTTGTTTTTCATCCCGCAGTTTATTTACAGCATTCCCTTTATCTCCGCAGGCCTGGTGTGATCACCATGCAGGCGCTTTCAGAAGAGGACCGAAGGCTGTGGATGGAGGCAATGGATGGCCGGGAACCGGTGAGCAGAAATATTAGCAAAAAAGCGTTGGAGAAAATTGTGGAGAGCTTTTCGTAGCCTGGGGCAGATTGTTTGCTGCGAAGCAGGCTGTCACGCAGCGCCTGCCAGCCGGTGCGAGAGCTGTATCCGTGGGGCAGCTCGCGCCTTCTGCCAAGAGAATAGTTTAATCCCTTGGTTAAATATTTGAGGTAATACTGTATCTCCTGTGCTTGGATTGCTTGAAGGTGCGGTGGAAAGGAGGAGGGTAGGCTTGGCCAGCACAAACACGCTGCTGTGCTGTGCTGAAAGGAAAACATGGCAAAAAGAGCAGTGGAAGAAAATACGCTGTAGATTTCCAGGGCTTTTTGAGTCCTGCAACTCATCTGGCAGCCGTTTCTGGGTCTTGTAGAGAATTGCAGATTTAGTGGGAGCGGAGGAGTGTAGCCCCTGTTCCCCGAACTCAGCGATAGCCTCCTCGCTGGTATGTTTGCTCCTGCCGTGCCAAAGCTGCACAGGCTTCTTCACCTCTGGAAGGGATTATGGAGGTTTTCAGAAAACTCATGGTTGCTGCCTTTTTATTTTTTAATGCGTATGCAAACCTTACTGCCACATTCAAAGAGCTGCGGCTGGTTCTGATAGGGTTCCCTCGGAGGAGTGCTGGTGCGGGCGCCGAGCGTCGGCGGCGCGGTGCTGCCCGGTTTCGGCGTGGCGGCCGTCCAGCAATGAACGGCAAACACAGCACCGCCGAGCAGCCTTTGTACGCAGAGCGAGACCAGACTGTGGGCCTCTGTGCCTCGGCGTGGCCAAAAGCGTAGCAGGATACGAAAAGAAACTTTGCGGATAGCGAGAGCAGCCAGGGCTGTTACAGGACAGCCCGTACATTTTTGGAGTAGGTGTCTGTGCTTCTGGCTCTGGCCGTTGGAGGAGAGTCCATGTGGGGAGCAGAGTGTTCTGTACCAGTACAGCCCCACTGCCACGGACTGGTACTGATTTGAGCAGATCCTCCCCCAAATCCACGAAGAGGTTCTTGTTTGTCAGTAAAAATGTTCGTTAGAGCCAGGTGTGATGGGGATACAGGTGGGCTGTTCGGTGAATGCTGGAAAGCACGTGATGGGCTTAGTCAAGCAACTTGGTTTTGAAATGCGCCGCGGGTCGGAGGTCGGGAAGGCTGCATGTGTGTGAGGGTGCTGCTCTGTATTTCAGGTAGAGGATTTCGTTGTGGATTACAGCCAGGTCTCAGCCTGGAATCGTAGATCCATTAGATAATTCAGGTGGGATGGGGCCTCAGGAGGTTTCTAGCCCAACCTCCCGCTCAGAGCCGATTGCTCGGGGTGTTACCCGGTCAGGTGCTGAGAGCAGCCGCGAGAGGAGACTGCACAGCTTCCCTGGGCTCCAGCTCTGCTGCTTCACCGTCCTCCTGACACCCAGTTTGAACCTCTCCTGTTTCAATTTACACCTATTGTCCCTTGTCCTCCTGCCGTGCGGAGCGGTGAGGAGCCGGCTCTGTCTTTCTGATGCCCTCCTCAGAGGAAGGGTGCTGTCAGGTCCCCACAAGGCTTTTCCTTCTCCAGGCTGAATAAATGCTGCTCCCTAACAGGGCATCCTGCGTAGCTTGGAACTACCTCTGATGGTGATCACAGCTCTCTGCCATGTTGGTTTCCTCCCTGCAGCAAAATTGTGCTTCTGGGACAAAAATGCTCCGTTGCACCTGTAGACGTACCCTTTCCAAGAACGGGCATTGCGGGAGGTGCAGGCACAGAGGCAAAAAAGGACTGAATGTGTGTTGTGTGTGCAGGACAGCCTCTGCTTCCTTTTTCTACCGTGTGTTGAAAAGGGAGCCTTGTTTGGGGGAGCCAGCCTGCTCCTCCACCTCGGCTCTTGACCTGGGTGGCCCTGTCCTGGGGCAGCTGTAGTGGGGGGACACTCGGGTGTAAGGTGTACCAACCTCTCCAGCTGCGGCGTGCAAGCTGTCTTGTTCCCTCCGAAATTAACCCCTACCTTGGTTCTGTGGCGGCAGCTGGAGACAGGATAATATTTTCAGTTTCTTCAGAAACAAAATGCGTGTTCTTGCTCCTACTGCGAATCGCGCCTTGTCCTCCTTCAGCCTGCTCACCCACTGCCCCACCTCCACCGAGGCCTCTTGTTGCGAGGATGTGGAACGCAGTCACCTGCAGCGGGAACTGCATGAACACGGTCATCCACTTGCATCTTGACCTGCTGATGTTTTCAGGATTTGGCACAACATCAGAGCCAGTCTGTTACGATCGGGTTGCAGAAGTGCAGCAAGAGATTTTGCGTGTTTTTAAAGTGCCATACATGCGAAAGGTGCTATGAAGCAATAAATGCAGGACTGCCTGGATTATCCTGTTTCAGAATCTGGTTATGTGAACTCCTTCAAAAACACGCAGGTCTTCGTGCCGCTGCCTGTGTATTTCTATTCTTCGCTATCATGCCCATCAGTTTAGGGTAGCTTGCTCATCCAGCACGTCAAGGATTGCTGCTGCACATTAATGCAATACCTCATGGCACTTAAATGCTAATGGTGTTTAAACCTGGCCTTCCAGGTGTGGTGTGGAGCCATGGGAATGAAGATCCATCAAAAGTGGAGTTGTTGCTCTGTTCTGTTTGGGTTCTCATCTTGCAACACCAGGGTGTGGGATGTTATAGGTAAAATCTCCGCAGAGATTTCCTTGAGCAAGAGACAAGGATTTAACCTTTGGACTCCTAGAAATATCCCTTCTACGCTTTGACTACATTTCTGTAACCAAAAAAACCCTACTGGAAAGAATGTCTGGTTTTCCTTTGATTTGAATACTGAGTGTGGAAAAGATTGGCACGGTGGGGACAGTAATTCCATGTGCAAATTCAGGCTGTGGAGAGATTAAAGTGGACTGGAGTTTGTTTCTTAATTATAATTAAAAAACTAAAACCAAATGTTGTATTACATTTTAGAAGATTTAAACATAGAATGTGGGCTACATTAGCCAAGACATTTATCACAACTTGAAAAGATTTATTATATATCTTACAGTCAAAGCAGTCTCCAGATAGCTATCATCAGTCTATTAACTCTTACCACTTGTCACTAATTTGATTAAAACCCCTGCGTTGACTTTGGGTTTTCTTTTATGTTGCAGAGGCTGGAAATAGAAGAAAATGCTAACTCCGTAACAGAGCAGTTGCATTTGTTTTTGTTAAGATACTCAGGATAAGTTTCCTATGGTTTTTCTCCTCTGGTGATGGTGATCCAGTTTGCAAATATATATGGTGGAGGCCAAAGTGATTCTGAAACTTTGTTGGAGCCCGAGTGAAGAATGAAAGTCGTGTTGGCTCATAGCAGCAGCTGTGGCAGGCTGCAGGATTAAGAGAGGCACAAATTAGGCTGTTTGCTTTGTGGCAAAGAACTGAACAAGATAAGCATTTGAGTAAGGTTGTGGCTTTGCTTGCCAAGTCTGCAGCGAGTATGCCAGCCAAAAGAGAGATGTCGGTGTCAGTGGTTCCTACTATTACCTTCCGAGCAGGTTGGTAATCTTAGAAATCATTCTCACATCAGGGAGGGCAGAAGTGGGGTACTGGATTGGAAATGTTTGGGACGTGAAAACGTTTCTCCAGGAAAGTGAGCCTTGCAATGTAAGGGGAGGTAGAGGGTTAAGGATATGAAACGTGTTAGATCACGTCCCTGTCGAGCTGTGTTAATCCGTTGCCCATAACCTTGAGTGGTGATGGAGAAGTTAGTGTTAAATGGCAAATGCAACAGCCTGTGATCCTGTCAGAGGAAATAAGACATGCATGGGATCTGGGCAGTGCTGTTCTGGCACTCGCATCATGCTGCCCTTTGCTCAGTTTGTTTTGTTTCTCTTTTTTTTGTTCTTTAAAGCAATACAAGTCTATAAAAATACAGCCAGCATTTCATATCGGAGTTGGTTTTGTTAGTGCTGTACAGCCGAGTGTGCTATGGGCTGGGGACGAGCGGTCGGTCTCATGCCCTTGGCAGGGGAGGGAGGGAGGACTCTGAAATGGAGACACATCAGCAATGCTTTCTCCTTTCCTTCTGCTCCCCTTACCTCTCTTCAGTTCTTTAACATAATCTGTGAGTTTGCAAAAGCAAGAACAAAGTACGAAGTCCCTCGCATGCTTTGGGAGGCTCCAGGCTGGTCACTGAATGGAAAGGCAGCACTGCAGAGCTGGTGGGTTTTGTCCTGGCACCTCCCAGGGTTGGACCTGTTGTACTGGAAGGGCCCTGTTCCTCTTGGCACTTGCGTGACTTAGTCCTTGGGTGACGAAACTCCATCCTCCAGAAAGCAAATGTTTATGCGCCCATTCTGGAAGGCAATTCCAGGATCTGATGGCTCTGATGTCTGCAAACCTTCCCAGGGTTTCCCACCCACCCAGCTTTAGTCGTGTGTGCTCCTCCATGTGAGGACACTGGGCTGCATGGCCGTTGAGCTGCGTGAAGCTGAGGGCCGTGGGGGACAGTCAAATGCTAGCTGTGGTGTCTGGGGTTTGTGCCGGGCACGGAGATGCCATGTTCATGTTCCCAACCAGGGGCTGGGCCTGGCTGGAAATGCGATGCTGTTTGTCAGTGCTGGGAACTCGCGACGTTCAGAAGTGCTGACAGCTGAATTAATGGAAGCCCAGAGGGCAAGATCCACATTTTTGAGATATTATGGAGACACTTAAACTCTCTTAGACCTTCCCTAGGTGCCGAAGGTCTGCAGGCACCAGCAGCCCTTTGCTTGAAAGCATTCTTCCGCCTAGATGTGCCACTCCTTGGCTTGGGCAAGGAGCAGCCTGCGCCCGCTCCTGGCCGCCACTTCAGCAGCACGCTTTATCCTTCTTGTCCTTAATTTCTCTTCCTCCCCTGTGCCCAAACCAAACTCTTTCTTCACCTTCAGTCAAGACCTGGTTCCCACCTGTAGCTATAGGTGATGGGCCTGGGGTTTGCGGCAGGTCTGTTGTTTATTAGCCTAATGAAATTAGGCACCAGGTGAGGTCAGCGTGTCTAAGCACCTGTGAACCTG